CATGTCCCACCAGGCAGCCATCGCCTCGCAGCGCTTCGAGGGCACAGCCCCCCTGGGGGAGGCGCGGACCCCCGGCCAGCTGTCCGACGGCAGCAGCAGACAGTAGGCCTGGGGCCAGGAAGCTGCTGGGCTCCCACCCCGGCTCCAAGCCCGCAGGCACCAGCAGCCGGGGCAGCAAGATGCTCAGCTGACCCGCTACTCGCAACCTGAAAACAAATCATGTTCTTGACGTAAATTCTTTTTCCTGAAGAACCTAAGGGGTTGGGGTTGGGAGGGAGTGTCTCTGGGACGCTGTGGCTGATGGGAGAGGGGGCGTCCCGGGGAGAGCCGGCTGCGGGGCTGCCTGGGCCGCAGGAGCACAGCGCGGCCAGGCTCTGAGCCTCCCGGGACAGGAGCTGGGGGCACGTCCCACGGGTGGTCCTGTCTCGCACTCCCCTCCCCCGTCCCTTAGCGAGTGGCAGAGGGTGTGGCGCCCGCCCCACTCTAACTGGCGGTGAGGGTTCAAGACCAGGAAGCTGCCTCCCTGGGAGTCTCAGATGTGGTGCTTTGGAGCCTCCACAAGCCACCCTCCTCCTGGCCCTTCTCTCACCGCTGGGACCAGGCGCCTCCCAGGGACTCTGGTCAGTCATGTCCTGGATGGAACGGGAGCTTGTGGTAGGGCCTTTGGCTCATGTCCCTGGGCACAAAGACATCTGTGTCACCCGTGGATGGCAACCAGGTGGAACTCGGCAGCTGTGCCTGGTGTGGGCAGCCCTGAGGGCCGGAGGCCCTCAGCCCCGGCCCCTGATCGAGGACATCTTTCCCCCGAGGAGAGGTCCGGGAAGGGCCCGTTCTCTCCGCCTCCCCGGGAGTGGACCCTCTTGGCTCCCTGCTGCCCATCTCACTCCTGGGAACCGGCGCTTGTTCTCAGACACGTAGAAGCTTTGTGCTCACCCTGCGAGCTGGGAGGAAGGGGAGGGCCTCCTGAGCCGCCATCCTCCCCACCAACCGGCTGACCAGAGCTTAGGACCATTGGTGTTCTGTGTATGTGGACGCTCTCGTCATGCTAGAGAGGGTCTCCCGCTGTTGCACTGCACCGCGCCTGTCCTGTTAAGGGTGTGGATGTCCTTCCTGTCTCCTGTTGGCCTCTCTTCCCGTCTAGAAAGACCAAGCAGACCCCCATGGCCAGCAGGTACAATAGCTGGTGGTCTGAGTTCTCTGTCGTTTGGGAAGCAGAGGGGTTGGTTCTTGTGTCATCTTTCAGTTAGTGTGGAAAACGGGGACCCATCTCTGCCTTGAAAATTGGTGCAGCGGTAGGCCTCAGACTGGGCAGGGCTCACGGATCAGAGCTGAGGTGGGAGGGAAGGGCGTTCGGGGTGACGCTCGAGGTGGACTGGGGGCAGAAGAAGCAAGCAAGGGAAGCTGGTTCCCCCAGGTTGGACCCCGGGTTCTGGTGTGAAGGACAGTCCCCGTGGGGACAGGACCACCTGTGCAACTGCCCCTGGATTATCAGGGTCGGGGGCCTAAGCGTGGGAGAGGCAGCTCCTGTGTCCCTCGCCTTCTCCAGAGTGTGAGCTGGTGCTCTGGCGCCTCCCACGACAGCTGGCCCCTTAACTACTAGGTACCCGCCAATCCCTCTGCCTTCCAGCAGACCACAGATTCACTTCCCAACCTTCCCGCCACCTGAAGCCTGTCTCCTGAGAGAACTAGAGGTAGAATTTGCTTCTGTCCTCTCAGGAGCTTCTGTTCTTTCCCCTGCCCCATTCTCTGCCTCTTTGTGCATCGGGGAAGGGGAGGCCCATCCCTGGGACCCTGGCAGAGCATAGGGACTGAACCAAGCAGCGCGGCCTGGGGTTGAGCAGCTGTGGTGTTTACAAGTTTCTCAACGTGTCTTTTCAATGGCTGTTTTAAACAAAGCAGTCTGTTTCAGCTGTCTCCCTGATTAAAGCAAGCCCCTGGGCTCGGAGGCATCATGCCCACGGTCCACCAGACTCTGTGGTCTCTTCTTACTGCCCTGCCGCACACAAGGGGAGATGCCCCGCCCTGACCCACGACACCTGCCCTCCTGGTGTCTGTGGCCCCTGGTGAACAATGACACCCACTTTATTAATGCCTGTTTTAGACAAGCACATGGCTGAGAAAGGAATTCTGGTTTTACTCCAGTCTGGTAACTTGTCCTGAAACTGCTGGTTTTACCCACTCTGGGACCAGATACTTAACCCACCCAGGGGTGGGTTAAGGAAGGCCGGTGTAGAGACGATCCATGTTAGTGGGTGTCAGCAGACTGGGCCCTGCATCTGGCTGAGGGGATGTAAAAACGTGCAGTGGAGTATTCTACCCCCAATGCTGATTTTAAAGAAACGCCTCCAACTCAGACATTCATGTTTTATTAAAAAGGACCCAAACCCGACGTCTAACACTACGCCAGGTGAACACAACCAGCATGTTCCCCACGCCTTCTTTTGTCTTGTGGAAGCCTGACTTTGGGGCAACATCTTGCCCTCTTCAGCAGCCGTGTCTCCATTAACTCGGTTCCTTTTCCTCCAGGCTCAAAATAAAATCAAACTCCTCTGCCGAAAAGGGCAAGAAGAAGAGGAAGAATTAGGTCTGTGTCTCCTGAGCAGGGCAGTCACGGCAGGCATTTCTCTCGTTCACTCAGAACCCTCGGGCGTTTCGACAGGTGCCGAGCACAGCTGCCCTGGGCAGCTCGAGGGGGCTCCTCCCTCGTGGGAGTTACAGGTGGGAAGACAGACTCAGACCTTAACCACCGTGCTTAGGGTTCACCAGCTAGTACATGTGAATTCACGGTCACTGTGGCATGTGATCAAAAGGCGAGAGCCGTTCTTACCTCGGGTCAGGGGCTGGACTGAGAGTCTCTGGCGGGTGAAGAGAGCCATGTTTTTTAAGGGACCGCCAGTGGCTCTGTGCGCTTGGTGGTGGGTTTTGAGCTCAGCCAGTGGGATGAAACGCTTCATCATCCGAACAAACTGTACGTCCACCTGCATGGCAACAGTGTATGGGACAGAAAGGCACGTCCAGCTGGACTCCGCCTGCTGTGTTTTAGCTGCTTGCAGGAGGTCCTGTGGGCCTGGCTGCCGGTGTTTGTCCTTCCCTCCAAAGGCAGGGTAACCTCATCGGACTGAGCGGGGCTCTGTGCCCTGATCTAAAGATACCCCAGACCTTCCTCCCTCTATCTCCATCCTTTTTCTCTTTTGTGAAATAGGAAGAATAGTAGTGTCTTTACCATGGACCATTTGGGGTTGTCTTCTTTGCTGGATGGATCATAATGGGGATTGTTTTTCTCAAACTGTGTGTGGTCTGGGTATGCCTCCTTCACAATCTGAAATTAAAGCCGAGTCTCCAATCATTTGTCTGTCCAGTCAGCTCCATGGCCAGGCTTTAGTGCAAGTCCAACTGTCGTTTCCTACCCTACGTATTCTTACCCCATCTGTCTCGCTGTTGAGCCACTGAGGGCTCAAGTATCTGGAAGTAATACACAGTCTAAGGTAAGCAGAGGAAATCAACCCTATTTTGACAAAAATCTTAAAAGTATGTTCTAAAACCAAACATTAAAGGTTATTATTGGTGCCACTGTTTCTCCACCTACAGTTAATTCTACCCTGGTAACTCCTGGCCTGGAAGAGCTACCATCAGGCCTGTTTTTGAGTGAAAGACCAAGGTGCAGAAATGGAGAGGTCTGTGCCAGCGGGGCCTGAAATGAAGGCCTGCCTTGCTGCAGTCCTGTCACATGTCCCTGAGACAGCAGGGATGGGGATGAGGGTTGCCTGCCTATGCTGTCTCCCTAACCTGCATGAAGGGAGATGGACTCAGACCTAAGCCTGTACAACCGACCTTCATAAGCCCCGCGATGCCTGGCTCTCTGCAGTTGCTGTGGTAGAAGAAGGCTTCTTCCTGCAGCTTCATGGCTCTCAGGAAGTTCCGGGCCTGTTCCAGCACAGGAGAAACAAGAACTATCCTCCCACCAGTCAGAAGACACTAGCCCCTGGAAGTCAAGTCTGCTTTTATTAGATGAGATTTTGTTTTGTGCAGCTCCCCCCCCACCCCACCCCACAGTTCAATTCAATTCTTGCCTTTTACCCAGAGCTGTATCAGGAGGACACTGGCTAGAACACAGGCCATTTGAAAACTGCATGCAGTCAAAGAAATCAAGTTATGTATTAATATATTTTCAGGTTTCGGTTCTGGGAAAAAACCACCTTGGCCAAGAGATTTTGCTACTGAATAAGTCAGAAGGAAGCAGGCTTTTTATCCCCCCCCCGCCCCGGGTCTCGAGGTCCTGTCTAACCCGCTTACCTGGTAGTTGCGAACACCATCCCAGCATGCTGTCTGCTTGGGCTGTGCTCTGAGATCCTCAATGCTGAACTAGGCAAGAAATAAGGTCATTCAGTAAACAATCCTGGGCCAATCGGTAAGAATATATGGAAGCAGACAAGTTCCTTCCCCTGCAGGGTGCTGCCAGCTGGAGTGGCGTATGAGCTTATGGGAAGCTCTTCACAGCCACTCATGCTGTGCAAGTAGAAGTTAGCTTTGTGTTACCTTGTTAGCCTTGCTAATTGAGAGGGTTAGATGAGTGGATAATTAATCTGGCAATTGCTGACTATCTATTTCATTTATTAAAATATTATATATCCCTTCTAGAGTATCTCTAATTTTATTTTCTCCAGGCTACTATGAAATTTGATTTACATTTGCCTCCTGTGTACCAGCTGTTGGCAGGGAGATACCTAGGAGCATGGCAGGTGGCAAGAGAAAGGCAACCTAAGACTGAATGTTGCCTAGATCGGGGGCTGGAAAACTATAGCCTTCAGGCCAAATCTAGCCCATGCCTGATTTTGCTGACAGTTTTATTGGAACTCAGCCACACTATCTGCCTATGGCCACTTTCTTGTGATGCCAGCAGAGATGCAACAGCACCACCTGGCCCTTTAGAGAAAACATTTGCCAACCCCTGCCCTAAGTAGAAGACTCACAAAACAGAGAGTGGATGGCAATAAATGCTGCTGATTCTGTCCTTTATCACCTTTTCCCTACCCTTCGAAGGTAAGAAGTGGGTGATGGGACCCTGTGGTGTCCCCCGTGCACTCTGGAGACAGGCGCGGGACCTCACCTTCACGTCCACCCCTTTCTCCAGTCGGCTTTCTGGCTCTGACTTCATCAGCCAGCAGCTGCTTAGGTTCTTCCCGCGGTCTCTAGAGGCTGAAGTCTCCTGGAGGCTGGAGTTCCCCACCTTAGCTGAGGCCTCCCCTGGCTTCTCCGTCACCTTAGCTGAGGCCTCCCCTGGCTTCTCCGTCACCTTAGCTGAGGCCTCCCCTGGCTTCTCAGTGTTGGTACGTTTTCCTGCTGGCCCCTCCTTGTCTGCAATAGGAGAAGAAAAAGGAAGAGAACTTTCTTGCTTGAGAGAGAAAGTTCTGTTGCAGGAAAAGCACATTTGGAGTCAGCAGAGCTGGACTCAAATTCTGGAGCTGTGGCAGCTTCGCTGCTGCACCCGGTC